ACGTTTCACATGATGCCCCCTGCCTATATCGGACATGCGACTTTTATAGCTTTCCCACATAATTTCATACAGAAAAAAAATTATTGATGCGTTGCTACCAAAGTTAGAATTATTTTCCCAAAGTCTGTGGGGTGGCGTAGACAATTACACATATAGAACCCACCAAATGTCGAAACATAATTGGCTTAACATGTGGACGCCTCTCCCATTTCCCTCTTCAATCGCCCAAAGATCCAAATATATATTCTCCGTACTGACTCCATACATTTCCTTTAATGCCAGTTAGGAGAATTTGATGGCGAGTCAACATTATATTTTTGCCATCACCTGCCACTTGAAAATGTTAGAAGGTAATCATTAACAGGACTAAAACCCTGTATTCCTTAAAGAAGCTCCATTTAAAATCAAACCTCATAATTTTACAAAAGGATCTGTTCCTATTGTTTCACGCCGCCGAATAACAGTTTGTAGATTATCCCTCATTAGTCCGCACTCATTTTTTGTTATAAATAGACGGGAGAATTTTGTCTTATGCCACGAGTTAAATTTTTGATCACTCCCCTGATTTTATAAACATTTTTACTGAATTTATGTCACTATGTTGAGAAAAATTCAGACGATGATACAGTACAGCGTGACACAGAGCCACAGGAGTACGTGACGAAAACCATTTAAAGGCACGACGGTTAAAATAAGCGCTCGCAACTTTTAGTCTTATACATGCTAGTTTTAGGAGAAATTAGTTTCTGATCTACGTACTGAAAAGAAATGTATTAAATAATTTTGAAAGCTGGCAATTTAACGTTACGCCCATAATAATAGCATAAAAGCGGACAAAATTTCTTGCCTGATTTAATACACCTTCCCTTCTCCAACTGATTTCACCAGCATCGATATCATTTCGCAAAACAAATCTCCAGAAGAAGATTACTCTAACCATAAATGTTCTGTTTGTTAAGGGAGGGAGTGAAAAATGAAAACACGTCTTTATAAAAGACAAAAAGAGAAATGCCTTGTTCACAGTTTAGTGAAAAAGTCAAGAAACATATTAACGTAATTGTCCCTCTGGCTTGCTTGTCAAGTTTAATTCAAACCAAAGATTGTCAACCTCCAGAAATAAAAAAAAAATTAATAATAATTGTAGAAATAGTGCTAAAAAAAGACCTCAGTTTTGTCAACTGCGTGATGCCCAATAGAACGAAACTGAATAACTTAAAAATAAAGTCATTTGCTCGATAGATAATAACACATGATACTGATCTTGCAAACGGAGTTTTATTATCCACAATATATCTGTACAGAGGGGACTGACTTGTCATTGCTACGAATAAATAGTTACAAAGAAATACTGCAGCCAGACCATCAAATACATTTTCGTATTTTTTGACAATTTTTTAATCAACGATGTGACTTGTATGCAAATTCAAGGAATTTTTTTTCCCTTTAATTTTCACCGTTCTGTTTATTTCGCTGTGTGACAAATATTGTAAGTCGTGTAGGGGTGATTTTCCCCGCGTGCGGTCAATTGGTTTCCAACAATTTTTACTTCTCGTCTTCTTTTATTACTTTTGTTTATTTATCTTATTTTTTTCGCGCAAATGGCCGCTGTGATTCTATATACCGAGAGATTCTTTCATTGCTGCAATTGTATAAACTCGAAAATAATATCCTCGGTTATGACAATGCACATTTTAAAGACTGGTTGATTGGAAAATTCTGTTTCTCCCAATGAAAAACACAACAAAAAACCGTGTGCATTTCAGCCATGCTAAATTAAAAGAGCCAAGAAAAAAACTTTGATAAAAAGAGTGATTCCTCACGAAAAAGGTGGCTCGCGAACGAAATTTGGCGAACGTTTCGAATTCTAAAACGAATGAATGAACATATGCTGTCTGTTTGTTTAAAGGAAAATAGAATTCTACATTACACTATATGAATATTAATGAAACAAAGGTATATTTACATCGCCTAAGTTCACTGCCAAGGTGCATTTGTTGAAAATTCAATGGTTTTCTCCGATGAAGACGCTATTACATAAATCCATTCTTAAAATGAACATTGCTAAATAGTTCCCCTTGACGGCAATTGCTCCGCTATCGGATCAATATTCACTTGTGCTGTGGACTGTCCATGTGTTTTTGTTATATTTCAGCTTGGAGAAAATCCAGTCGAACGACGCTCTCTTGTTTTGCGATATCCGTCCGTGAAAATCTTCTGCTCTAGCGTCGAGCTGCTGCCGTATTGTCTTTATCGTTTTCCGCTTTTTTTTCGCGAAGGAAGAGTCCACGAATTTTTCCATGTTTGACGGTTCACCCAAAAAGCCCTCCAGTCAAAAATCGCCAGTAATTATGAAAGCCACAAAAACACATCTCTCCGAAACGATAAATATCCACTAACTAGGAGCAGGATTTGATGAAATTGCTTCGCCTTGTCAGAATTTTATTTTCGGCATGCGTTGAAGCGAATCCAGTCGGACGGGAATAAATTTTATGCGTCAACTCCAAATGTCGAGTTCTTTTTATGGTCTGTTACACCGGTACACTTTCAATGGTTTCCAAACCGGTTTTATATCACATTGCTCGATGCCCCGCTTGACAGTGACGTGACGGCGTTGTTGGCTTTTGTTGGGTTCTCTAAGGCCAGTATAATGTCATGATGGATGTCTATATGTTTCTTGTGATCCGCGTTGCTGGCTGTCTGAAACACCTTCAATTCGCCGATTTCCTGTAAAAGTTTCAAAGTTTCCTCGTTAACCATTTGTATCGTCGGCGCTAGCGAGGATTTCTCTTGCTTTATTGTTTCCTCCTCGTTATTCGAACGCCTACCAGATGCTGCTTTCTTCGCCGGCGCACTTTCTTGCGGCGAAACTTCGTCGTCCCGTCTTCGAGATGGCAGGCATCCCATTATGCTGAGCTTAAAACACTCTCGCATCTAAAGAAAAAAAAACATCGCGATAACACGGCATTAATATTCAGTTTTGCCGCCTTAGAACTGGCATCCCAACGAGGTATCGGCCGATGCTTGTTGCTCCGTTGATCAGGCTGTATTTAGCATTGGATAACATTTAATTATTAACTAACACAAACAGACGCATTTGATGACATCTGACGTCATTTCGTGTTGTCAGAGCTCAATGTTAAAAGGGTTTCCATTCCTTGTTGCAAAATAGGCCAAAAGTAGCAATTTATTTCTCAATTATATCGAACCGAACTTGAAATAAAAAGGCTATCAGGTTATCGCATAGAGCCTCGTCGGGCGTAAAAGGTCAAGAAATAAAATAACAGAGAATATAAATTAGGTGTCGCAACACAGGCCGATATTCAAATTGCTTTTTCAAAATTTTCTGAAGCTAATATGACCACTAAATGACTAAGGAGTTTTAACCATGAGCAGCTTGCCAAAGGGAAAAAAAATAAACAAAATTGGTGCGCATCAAATGACAATGAATTTGTTTGAGTTGAATTAAAAATATCAATGAGTAGCTTGGCATAATTCAGAAAGCTTGTCGTTCACGGAGACATGTGTAATCAGGGGCAGATTAAAACCGCAAACGTAATTATACTCACATCTGACCAGAGTGGAGTTTTATGTTCTCTACAAAATTTGAATGCTTTCTTTTACGTTAATATGTTTTGCAGCGCTCTCGCCATACCAGTTGATTCAATTCGCACAGTATATTAAATAACATCTTACAATTAAATTAAATAAGGCAAGAGTCACTCTACCAACCTTTCCCATTGTGTGGTATACACTGAATTAAGCCAAGCTTCTGATCCTCAAAATCACTGAAAAGAGCAACTAATCATGCAAAAGAAACCGTACAGGTTTTGTTAGTTCGAATGCGATGAAACCTGGAACAATCGCGCGACGTGCCTTCAAAATATGACTGACGAGCTATTTCTCAAGTGAGTGGGCTTTTTAAGGAAAACAATGACGTCATCAAATGCTCACAGCCTGATCGATAAACACTTATATCGATGTTACAATCACGCATTGAATACACTTCACGCCTCTTTTCTCGCCTAAAAATAAGACCTGTTGAAAACACGCTGAGCACGGAAGCAAAGGCATGTTTCAAAATAGATCGATCATTTTGCTCGAGGCAACTGCCAGCACAGCGTTGCTTGGGCATGAGAAATTTCTGCTCTCACTGAAGTTCACGACGTGTATCTGAATTATTCATCAATGGATAATGACACTTTTAAAGAAGATTACGTTTATATTTAGCCGAAGTGTAGAAGGAAATGCTATATCAAGCCGTTATAAGCCCCCAATTGAAAGGATTTCTCGCTAAGAAATTTGCGGGCTGGAGTTAAAGTTGCTATTTCTTCTCGAAACTAATTCCTTTCGCAGCATGGTTGTCGTGTTTTGTATTCGCGTGTTCTCGTGAACGTTCGGTCAGACATTCGGTCGAGTCATGACGTACGACAAAACAATTAACTTCGTCAATGGTAGATTAATCCAACATTAAGCAACATAATCTGCTTTACTGCTGAAATACCTTCAGGGCAAGAGCGAGGTATTTGACCGATATAAGGTTAGTGACGCATTTTAAAACATGCGCGTGTCTAAGAGCTTACTGAAATAAACTCGGTTCAAGAACTTTTCTTGTCAATCGGAAAAACCTCCTTGTAGAAATGTTATGTAACTGCTATAAGACGTGAGTAGGAGGAGAGAACGTGCGAGGAAAATTGTATCCAACATCGTGCTGGTCTTAGGGAGACAAGGGAAAAACCCTTTTTAATAGAAACACGAAAACTTCTTCAAATATTGATTGTAAATCCGAGTTAATATTTGATCAGCGGTGAAATTCGTGATATGACTATGATATACGGTATGCTTGATCAAACAAATCATCAACAATTAGCACAAGTGTTGGAATTAAATCTAACTTCTAATAAAACAAAATCAGTCACAAAACGAACCAGGAAACCCATGTAATGAGGAATGATAGTGAAACTGACGCTGACACAATGACACGACACTTCGCCCACGCTCGTAAACATTTTGCTTTCTCATCACGATCTAACAGTGATAGGCAACGATGATGAAGCTACAGCACGGCAGCTGGCGTGGGGCGTTCAGTTTCCGTTTGAGAAATCAAAATCCTGCCCACACACAAGCACGAGATCACATCGGGAAACAAGTAATACACTTACGTAGTGGAAAAACGCATTGAGGCTGGACAAAAAGGAAGGAAAGGACGGTTCTGGTGGACGGAAACCAGCCTATGAAATAAACAGCCTGGATGTTTTGATCGGCGCCTTTGTGTTTCGGAAATGTAGAGATGGACTAATAATGTTTCGGTGAACCGATAACGATGCAAGCTTCTTTCAGCTGAATTTTTCAGAATGATTTAGTTTTGATATGCAGCAGCAATCGCCATCTTTACAGTTTTACACCCTACATTTTACGTTCAATGTATTAATTACCCGTTTTCTAAAGAATAAGGCGACTTTTTCTTTTCCTTTGAGAAAAAAGGAAACAAAATGCCTTCTTCCTTTCTCTGTCACGGATATGAAAACTTGATTTGCGTTAAGAACCCATTCACAATCACTGTCTGAAACAAACTCACGTTCAATGGATTTCTACAATGTTTATTATGATATAAACAAGTATTTACAAATCCCGGCATTTAAAAGCCTCTTCCGACACTGAAATGGCTTCTACTCTCGAAAGGAAAGAAAACATTACAAAAAATATACATCAGGGCCTACAATTTGATTTACAACCGTCAAATTCGCCAAGGCCAGGAAACAGAGCAAAGATCGTTGACAACAGAATTCAGTGAAGGCACAAAAGAACCAGTTAGTGAATGAATAAAACGGTATTTCCTCTTCGGCAACCACAATAAACACTCCCTTAAAACACTCAGTTATTGTTTTCTTTCCAAACTAGAACGGATAACAGATTATCTATACTTTCTCTGATTGGTACTTTCCTGTTTAAGATTTTTAAGAGCAATTGCGTGCACAGATTCGCTTGACTAAGCAATATAAGATATCCTAAAAAAAATCAGCACCACTATAGTGGTCTGTGAATTTTGTTAATGGTTAATCCATTCAGTTCAAACAAACGATGAATTTGAACAAGGCCAAAGCGAGCCAAATTACTGATTCTCGTTTAAAAACCGTATACCTCAAATAGGCCACGCGCTTGCCTTTAGATCGTGAAGTATGGGTTCTATTGATGACCATAAAAATCACCGCCATTTGCTTGCCAAGTCAGATATTTTTAATTCCCTAGTGTGTAAGCTATCCGTTGGATAGTGTTATCCAGTCCAAATCTTTCAATATTATTGGAGAGTTAGCTATTTTTAACTGAGCTAATATTAAGAATTTATTTCTGAAGAGTTTTATTTTGAGCTTAGGACTATTAAAACAAAAAGGGCTAAGTTGAAAACAGATAATGAGCGAATTCCAGCCACAGTCGAACTATCAGAAGTTGAGTACAAGTGACCCAGAACAATACAAAAAGCTGGTATGCGCTTCACACACCATGTGCACGTGAAAGTGAGAACGACTTGAGAAACACGCTACGAATACAACGGAGCACTTAGCATAGAATATTGAAGCTAGAAAAAGTGATGAATGCTTTGCAATGAGATGAAACTGAGGTGAAAGCTTAAACCAAGCTGCTTTTCTTTTCGTCCTTGTTTTCTGGTTACTGTTTGCAATACAAACACTGCTGCAAAAAAGCGTGATTACGACCGAATCCTTGTTGCATTGTCTAGGGTTGTGAATTCATTTGGCGAAAGTAAAATTAAATACATAACAAAGCGCAATTGAAGAGCGAAGTGTCGAGCTACATAGTTTGTTGAGCAACTTTAAATAGGGGTCATGGCCGATTGAGGCAACATTCATTGATAACAACTGATAAGGCAAATAATATTTTGTCTTTTTTCAATCAATCTATGAGATTTGTTACGTATTCGCAATCTAGACCGCGTGCCATACTGGCAAATTAATTTCTGTTTTCCTACTTAATTAGACATAAGTTAAATATAATACTAAACCAGCGGCTTTCCCGCAGACTGATCTTAAAATACATCAGCT